TGGGCCGGCCCAAATCTCAAGCCCTGGATTTTCGAGACAGCTGGATGCACCTCCATCTTCTCTCTCTAACAAACCGGAAAAAGAAGCCTAATTTTCCACCGGTGGGAGGGAGGAGGCGGGCTGGGGTAAGGGTAATGATTCTGAAATGTGAGCAACGCGTTTGACTTCACGCAGTTTCTCCCTCCTCCTTCGGTACGCAGCATTTTTATCATCCTTAAGACAAAGTAGCTGGCAAAATATTTAAGTGATCAGAAAGGAATGTTTTTATTTGCCCGCGTGTGAATTGGGTTATCTGCTTATCTTGTTTATGAAATTTGGGGCTGCCTTTCCCGCACAGTATGTTCGCCTCTCAAATCTTCCCCGGCTCCCATTTCCATATTTCTGCGTGCTTGTTCTTTGTTAATCACTTGGCAAGCGCTTATTTGAATATTAAAAATTTCTTTAATCATCAAAGGCAGGAGCACAGTCTCATGAATATTCATATTTCCCCCCCTCCTCAGACTGGATTCTAGTTCATTACCCTGCAGTAAAAGCCAAACAGCCATCAATCGCCCTCATTACAGGCTCTGGCGTTTTGATTGGCTGCCGCTGCCCAGAGCTTTTTATTTTTTTTAATTTTTTCCCCTTCTCCTATGAGCTGTCTTGTACCTGCCAACAACGCCCCCCACCTACAGAAAAAAAATCAACAATGCAAGAATAAATTTCTCTGGTTGAAATACAACTTTGCAAACTTGTCAAACTGACCTTGTGCGTCGCTGTCACCTCAGAGGCCACCGGCGCCACCTCTTTACCTATGTCTTTCCTGCCCCCTGCCCCTTCCCCCCAAAAAAAAAAAAAAAAACCCTCAGGGAAAAAATGGGGAGGGACAGGAGAGAAAATTAAATAAATAAAAAAGGGAGAAACTTGAGCCTCAGAGATGAATATTTGTCAAGAGAGTTGACGTAAGTTTCATTTGCATAATGACTTTGTACTTCTGCATTAATAAAATTTGCATATGAAGCCATGTTAATTACTCCTGATCATGCTTTTTGCATTCATGCATAGTAATTTTCTCCGACTTGTGAGAATTAATGTCTTGGCATGGGGGGAGGGGGCGCGGGGACTGTCAGGTTCCCCCGCCAGTGTCCCTCGCTCACACGCGCTGGCTCCCTGTCTGTCTCCTGCCTTGATCTATGACTCATTTCTGCACTATCAGTAGGAGTTCTCGCCTTAAAAAAATGTATCCGTTGAAAGGCACCAGTAGGGAGAAAAATAGAGCTCTCCCTCACAGTGTATTCCGGGCCACCTCTCTGGCTGGGAACACGGAATCTGCAGCCCTCCCAGCTGGGATGCGGCGGTGGCGGCAGGCTAGGAGCGCTGTCCCCGGGCTGGGCGGTGGGCGTGTCGCTGGGCAGCGCGCATGCGCTGGTCGGAGCCGAGCATCTGCCAGGCCGGGGAAGGGAGGTGGGCGGCGGACCCGGAGTAAAAGCTGCGCCCCCACGGAGGCGGTGACAATGAGCACGTCCCTATTGCGGCGCTGCAGGCACATGTGAAGGGCCTTATTTGGAGCCTGTCCTTGGGCACTTCTTTTGAAAGGGAGAAAGAAAGGAGCAAGAAGGCAGAGATTCTGATCTCAGCCTTCTCGGCTCGGGCACCTTCTCCTGCCTCTCTGGGCCTCAGTTTCCTTATCTGGGAGGGAGGATTGTCACGCCGGCCCCACTGAGAAACTAGCTTTACATGACCTACGCAGGTGCCAGTTGTGTATTTCTTGTTTCCTAACTAATGAACTTTGTGGTAAGAAATCAAGCCAGCCAGGGCTTCACTTACAGCGGGGAGGGCGTCTTTGTCCCTCGGCCATGAAACTAGCTGCATAACCGTCTCTGTAGATGGAGATGCCACGTGAGTGTGTGTGTGTTCCCCACGATGAATACACCTGTTAGGCCTCACTCGCAGCCGCTCACACAGAAAGGGGGAAAGCCCCAAGAGGCGCGCTGGTGTTGACTTCCGCAGAAAGCGCTCTAGTTCTTATTTTTCTGGGGCTGGGCCTGGAATCCTGGGCCTCATGGATTCCAGGCAGGCGCTGCACTAGCCCCAAACACTTGTTAGAGAGCGACCCATCTGCCAGACAGTGACTGTGCTGGGAAGGACCTGTGGCCTGTAGGAGAAGTTCCAGAGCTGAGAAGAAATAAAGGATAGCAGTGTGCTTCCTCGATGCCGGGCTAGAGCATGGGGTGCTCCTAACCCTGCAGAACGGTGGGCACCGAGGCGAGGAGGAGGCTGCTTCAGGAAATGGCACGGGAGTGGCTTGCTCGGTCCCTCTGCGCGTGTCTGGGTGCACAGTCTACCTTGGGGTCAGGTGCTCCTGAGCTCACCTGCGTGCTGGACTCCTGGGTCCACTTTTAAGGCAAACACACCTTCCTGGTGCAGGGTGCAGCTGGGAGGTGGCTGGAGAGGTGCTGTGGCTCAGGGACAAAGCCTGCGCTTTCCTTCTTCCTCTCTCTGTCCTTTTTTTTTTTTTTTTTCATTAAGATAGGCATGGCATAAAGTTCCCCTCAAATCAAACCATCAGTGGTTTTGTGTGTGTCCACAATGTTGTGGAGCCATCAACACTATCTAATTCCAATTTATCATGCCCCTACCCATGGGCCCTTGCTCCCTGCTGCCCTAGGCCCCGGCAACCTCCAGTGTCTGTCTCTCTGGATGCCCGTTCTAGATGCTCCCTGTCTCTGCGGCAGAGCCTGGGTGGCTTCTCCAGGCACTCCTAGTTTTTGCAGTAGCTGTGGGAGAGGGCTTGTGGAGCCTCCCTGTGAGCAGAGCTCCCATGTAACTGACTCCAGAAGAAACCTCTGCATAATGCCCCTTTCTCTGCCTGCTTTGAGTTGGTTCCTGGACCCGACAGTCGACAGCCAACTGTCTCAGTCTGCATTCCCACTGCAGGTTCTTGTTGGAGGCTCTGAGGTCCCCACTGGCTACAGTGCATCACACATGGTCACAGATGCTTGCCTGGCACCATGGTGCCCTTCTCAGGAGGTGACTGGTGGGGGGACAGTCTCTTCCTGTTCCCTGCCCCTCCTCCCACTAGGGGCAGAGTCAGCTCCCTTCATACATGGGGGATCCATTGCCAGGCCACTGCTGGCTTCCTAGCTGTGCAGTCCAGGTGTGGCCTCGCCTAGGTCCCAGGAGCCCGAGTCTAGACTAGGCCTTCTGCAGCCACCAATGGCTAGGCTGAGTCAAGGACGTCGGGCTCCCCTACCTGGAGCATGTGGCCCTTATGCTCAGGACCCTGACATGCCTTGTTCTCCCCAGTGGTAGCTATCGAGGGAGGCAGGACATGGCCAGGCTTTGGAGACACAGCTGAGGTCATATCCTGGAGCTCCTGAGCTTTAGTTTCCCCCTGAGGAAAGGGGATGGATGGTCTACCCTGAAGAGCAAGGCGGCTGTGGTGTACTCAGTGCGAAGCCATGTGGATCTGGACCCCTCCGTGGTCTGCAAAGAGGAACACATAGAGATTCAAGGCTTGGAGTGTATGGGACCTGATGCACAGTGCCAGGGCCCTCAGCAGGGACTGGTCAGGGCAGGCTTATGGGAAGAGGCTGGCGACCTTGCTCAGGGTCACACTAGGTCCGGGGCTGAGGTTGCTCAGGGTGCTCTGGGGCTGTAGGCAGCTGAGAAAAATTTGGACTCCTGTCCTGGCCTAGTATAAAGTCTTCATGAAGGGATGAAGCCCCCAAATTCCAAGCTTGGAGTCTTTTCAAGTGTCCTCAAGCAGGGGCACAGAAAAATGGGCCTGGACTTGGAGGCAGGTAGTAGGTTTTGATGGGGCTGTTGGGGTCTGCAGGCTGCTACAGGCCGGGCCTCAGTCCTCTGACCCTAGAATAGTGGGGCTGTCATAAGCACATGCCCCTGTGGGAGTGCTTGGAAGCTCAGCTATGGAAGACTGACAGCTCCTGGCTGGAGTGCGCGTGCGAGGCCCTGTGCTCTCCCGGGACTGGGGAGAGCTCAGGGCATCATGGAGCAGGCAGATCCCTACCCGCGCAGACCTGTGTCGGGAGGTGAGGGCCCAGGCCTCCCTGGCAGAGCCTGCTGGGCTCAGCTGCCCATCATCTTGTTGATGTTTTCTTTTTGTCTCTCTGATGCTTCCCTGCTCAATTATTTACCCAGGGAATTTGGGCTTCTTCACTTGTGGTTTTGGCAAGGGCTCACACAAATGTTTTGCCCTGGTGGTCTCTTAGCCATGTAAGATAAACGGCCAAATCAAACGCAGGCCTTGCCCGCAGCCCAGGCGAGCCGTGGGGCCCTGGCCTGGCTCTGGTCCCTGCTGTTGCCATCACGTGGGGGAGCGGGGACTCACAGCCAGGTTCTGGGCAATGGCCGGTTTCCTTCCTTCAGGCAGTGGAGAGTGGAGGGCATCTGGGCCTTGTAAAGAGTTACCGGGGCTTGGGTGCTACTGGCTGCAGGCTGGCAGAGGCCCTGGCTGGTCATCAGCCCCCAACAGGAGGCTAGGATGGGAGCCCACACTCTGGAGGCCCATTTGTCCAAAGAGCCTGTCTTTGTAAAACAGACAGTGGTGGCTCTGAGCGTCCTGGATGCTCCAGAAAGAGGTGGAACAGAGTTTCTGGAGCGGATCCTCCACTGGAGCCTGCTCCGGTTCTCTTGAAGACCCTTCATGGGGTGGGAGGGTCTTTCCTGGGAGCAGGGCCCTGCCAGTCCCTGTATGCCCCAGCCCCCTGCACGAGGCCTCCAGAGGCAGGGGTCCCGGCCCAGCCCCCAGACAGTGGCGCCTGGCAGCTGTGGATGCAGGACTCTCCCCAGTGTGCCTGATCGCTTCTCTGAGCCCTCCTCCCCTGCCTGAACCCCAGTCACCTTCCCTGTAGGGCTGGGCACACTGAGCCTCCTGCAGCCCTCCCTCCCCGCCCTTGATGGCTGGCCTGCAGCCCTGAACCCTGGGCCCTTCCTGCGCCCCAGTCCCTTGTGCAGCCCAGGGCCCGACTGACCAGTCTTTTCTATTGTTTTTTCTCTAGGGCCGTGCAGGCCTGCCCAGCTGCCAGCGATGGCCCCTATAGCTGCCTCCTCCTCCCTCCCTCACACATCCGTGATCACTTCACCTCTGCGGGCCCTGGGCGCACTCCCGCCCTGCTTCCCGCTGCCCTGCTGCAGCGCACGCCCGGTGTCGGGCGACGGGACTCAGGGTGAGGGTCAGACGGAGGTTCCTTTTGGATGCCAGTGTCAGTTGTCAGGTAACAGACGCCGCCGCGTGGGGGGTCGGGCTCTCCCGGGATGGGGGGTCGTGGCCCGGGCACAGCTGGGGACCCAAGGTGGGGACCCAGGGAGACAATGCAACCTTGGCCCAGAGGGCATTTTGGGGGTACTGAGGAAGAGGTGAAAGATGTGAACAGAACCGGTCCCCTTGGGTCAGCAGGCTCCCCAGTTCCCCACACCCCGACTGTTCTGAGTCTCCGTCCCAGAATGCACTGCCCAGCCTCCACATGTCATCTCTTTGGGCTGTTTAGCTAAAGCTTAATTGGATAACACTTAACATCTGAGGTTTTCTTCTGCCCTTGCCCCCACCCCTGCCCCCTCCCTCCCAGACAAGGCCGGGAGAGGATTCCTCGGTTGTCTGCGTACATTGCCGGAGCCGGCCAAAATGCTGAGTTTCTCTTTGGGACAATATGTTGCCCATTAACTTAGAGGAGAAAAAAAAAGTCACTGCAAAGGAGATTTTTAAAAAGCTATGGCCACGAGGCGGGCGTGAAACATTATGGGTGTGTATGGGGGGGAAGTGGCTGAGACCCCAGACCTCCACACCTCTATCACCTACCCCTGGCCCCCACACCAACCAAGCTCAGGCTGCTGTGACCTCCTGGTGGCCCTGGGCTGGCCACGCGTGCAGAGCGGCCTTGTGACCACCCAAGCCAGGATGCTGACACAGGCTCACGTGGCCCGTGGCTGTCGCCTGGTTTCGTGGCAGGGGCCGGGAAGGGAGAGGGCGGCTGCAGAGCGAGGGCAGAGTCAACTTGTCTCTGCTTTGTCACCAGGCACGTTGCAGCCTTTCTCTTGACTCAGCTTGTGAAAGGGAAACTATTTTTATGGAGTTGGGTTTGCTTCGTGGTGACGTTGTCCCAAAGGACAAGCTCTGGTAAAGCCCCAGAAAGGCCATAGGGAGCCCTTGTTCTGGGGCTGGAGCTCCAGGGCTGCTGCTGGTGGGGTAGCCTATAGCCTTCAGAGCCCCCTGCTGTGACAGGTGGTAACATTAGAGTATCAGGATTTCAGCAGGGAGTTCTGGGTTCCTCCAAAGCAGAGGCTATAACTACCCTGGAAGGAGTTGGAGCCTCTTGCAGAGGCTCGGCCCTCCCGCGTGGTCAGGGCTCGCTTCCCCGCTCGGTGAATCGGTGCTGTGAGCGGGTGGGAGGAGACCCCTCTTGCTGAGTGGGCTGCCTGCCCCGTCTGAGTGGCTGCCCTGGGCTCATGGCTTCCTGTAATTAGTGCCGCAGCCCCGCGGCCACTCGGGGGGCCACGCTATCAAAGATCAGCCTGAGTGTTTACGACTGGAGTTGGTCAAGTTCTGCGTGTAGAAACATGATCGCCTCGCCTCGCCAGCGGTGCGCTGCCGGGGTTCGCTTAACCCTCTGCTGGCTCTGGCCCTCCTTAGAAGCTGCCAAAGCAGAGTTGGCCAGGGGATCGAGTGCCTCCCCCGTGCGCTAGGCCTTCTGGCAGCTGTGTGGCCTGCCAGGCAGGAGCTGTAACGCGCAGTTCTGCAGAAGGGGGAGGGGCGAAGGCGCTGGAGGTGGCCTGGCGTGGCGGGGCCTGGGGCAGAACTGGGATCTGTCCTCGCAGTGCTTCCTGTCGAGGAACTGCCCCTGCCCCCGAGCCACATGGACCCTGTCCTCACGTGCTCTTCCCTGACCCCTGCGACGACCACGTCCGTGCACGTGACCTGCACGGCAGCCTGTGGCCTCCTCCGAGTCTTGAAGTGCGCGCACGTCCCTCCCTTCGCTCTTTCTTCGGTCGGAAGCCGTTCCCTGCGCGCCTGGTTTGTAGACCCCGTGGGACGTGGGCTGGAAATGGGCACCAGCATGCTGGTCGGCCTGCAGCTGGCGGGAGAGGAGAGGGCATCCGGAGTGGGGAAGTTGAGCCCCTGCGCCCATTCCAGCACTGTGTGGACCTCTGGCTTGGAGGCCGTCTGGGTTTAGGGCTTGGTGCCACCAGGGCCGCGAGGCTCTGAGCTTGACCACAGTGCTTGGGGGAGTGAGAAAGGGATGTGCCCCCTTGCTGGGTGCGGACTGCTGGGGCTGGCCAGAACTCCTTCAGAGCCCCCCTGGGGGTCCTGCTCCTGCCTCCGAACTTTTTCCCCGACAGCCGCTTCCCATCTGCATTCTTCTGTATGCGGTCCCTGTACATTAGCTGGTACCAGGCTGGACCACCATGTTTTTGTTCAATTTCAGTACTTGGAAATACCCTGTTCTAGGGATTTTTGACTTGGTGGTTTCTGTCCCTGGTCCTGGGCTGCTGGCTTCAGTGTTTTTAGTGCTTGTTTAATCAGCAGCTGGAATGGAGTCATTAAATCCCAGTAGCCCGTTAGGAAGAGGCAGTCCACTACAGAGACGCAAGGGGCCACAGCCCTTGCTTTGTGTTTTCCTTTTCTGATCAGAAAGCATTGAACCTACCTCTTCAAATTAATATGGAAAACCCCAGTGTAAATGTGTTTCGCACAGGTTAATTTCATGCTAGTGAATGTGCTTGAGTCGTTTATAGAAGGGTGTGATTTTATGGGAGATAAAACCTGGCCCAGGTGTGTGCATGTGTGTGTATGCGTGTACATCCTAGAGTCCCTAACAGCCCTGGGCCACACCCCAGGCCTCCCTGATAGATCACCGTGGGGAGAACGAATGGGGGCTTCTTTCTTCGGGACTCCACAGCTCTCAAGGGTGCCGACTCCAGGCTATCCTGGGGACCAAAACATGTTCTGTGAAAACAAGTTCTGCTGGAGGAGCTGGAGTCCTGGCCTTAGTGTGTCCAGCTGGTGGCCCTGAACATGTCACTGGTTGTCCTGGGGCCTCAGCTTCCCTTTCTGGAAGCAGGACATATTGCATATGTACACGTGTGTGGACAAGTCTGTCTGGCTTCTATGTCTGTCTGTCTGTCTTGTGGTATTGGGGATCCGACCCAGGTCCTTTGCACCGAGCTACACCTGCAGCCCTATTTTTTTTAAAATTATTTAATTTTGAGGCACAGTCTCACTAAATTGCTACGTTGCCCAGGCTGGGCTCACACTTGCGGTTCTCTTGCCTCAGCCTCCCAGACCCCTGGGTTTGCACGTGTGCACTGCCAGGTCCCACTTATGTGCAACATTTAAAAATGAGCAAGGCTTTGCACATCATTGCTTTCTGAAGCAGGTCAGCATAGGGCTGCCAGGATGGGTTGGGCAAGAGAAGGGTGAGGATTCCAGGGCAGGGCTGGGGTATGCAGAAGACAGCTGAGAACCACTGCCCCTCCCCACCCCTGCTAATACATGTTTTGAGAACTCCATGACTGGGAAGGGCTCATTCGTGTGTAACAGATGGTTAGGGGTGAAGCATGTAACTGTGTGGTTTTGAACAAATCATTTTCCCCTCGCCTCCTCAGTTTTCCCATCTGTAAAATGGGGGATGATTGACCATGCTCCAGAGGTCATTCTGAAGACTGCATGAAGTCATACGGGCCAGATGCTGAGAACAGTGCCCCAGGGAAGCTGTGACTTGCACATGAGCTGAATGGGTGTCACGACATGCCATGCTGTGTGTGTGGCGCTGGGAAGCATCTTCCTTGGAGCTCTCTTCCTAAAGTCCCAAGAGTAAAGGCAGTGAGCCCTTTGCCTGGCGCAGGTCACGGTAGAAGGGAAACTGAGGCACTTTGTCGTGTATTTGTCGCAGCAGCAGTGGCGAATCCATGTGCTTAGTGACATTCAGAGATTCGCACAAGAACGCAGAGGATCCGGGCCTGGGGAAGTCAGAGTGTTTGGCTTTAGTAGAGGGAGCCAGTTGCAGTCATTAGTATATGCTGAAATCATAGGGCAATCTTGTAAAGTTAAATTCAATTTACTTTTCTACTGAAATTGTGCTCGCTGTGTTATTTAACTCGTCTGGGGATTCTTGGCATGGGTTAAAGGGACAATAAAGATAAAAGAATACCTGTAAGTAAATAGTAGGGTTTAACAGTAGAATCTATCGTTTTCTCCTCCTTCAATTATATCCCAGTGTTCATTTTGTGTCGGTTTTATAGCCGGAGCTGTCCAATGGGATGCCATGGATCAGACCACCCTAGCTGTGAGGCTTGATACAATTAATACAGTCTGTCTGGAAAGTGGCCTTTTTTTCTGGAAGTTTTATGTTAATGATATGGTCTGTACTGTGCACATTTCGTACCAGAACAAGAAGCGAGCTGTAGTTTCTTTCTAGACTGGGTTTGATTAGCAGCAGAGGATCAGTAGGCAGGGAAACAGTGCTGCGGACAGGGATGGCGCCCCCTCCGGGTCGCGCTGCACCGTCTCACTTCTGGGCCAGGCCTGCCAGGGGGCCCTGGGGGGCATTAGCGCCTCCTTGGAGGGAGGGGTGAGTACAGGACAGCTGAGCAGGCCAAGCGAGGGCGCAGCATGGATGGACTCCCGGGATCCCCTCTGCAGTCACCTGCACTGCTGGGTGTGTCTGGGCGCCTCAGAGTCCAGGTCAGGGGCTGGGTGCTGCAGCCAGGGGGCTTCTGGGGAGGGGCTGTTAAAGACTTGGACTCATCCCCATTGCAGTGTCTACGGTGCTGAATGGCTAATGGCCTGGCTGCAAGGACCCAGCACTTACGGCGTGGTTGGTGACCCCTGAATGCCAGCCCTGGGATTCTGTGCTGGTGTCCATTGCCCAAGGCCTACACGACCGCTTCTGGGCCCGAGGCGGTGCCAGGGGGAGCCATGGGCACCACACAGCCCTAGAGTCTGGGAAGCTGCTTCTCTAAATGTGTCCTGTCTGTGGAGCTGGAAATCATGTCTTCAGCACCGACAGGGGCCCTAGGAGCCTGGTCACTGGGCCAGCAGCAGCCTGCGGCTGAGTTGGGGGTGGGACAGCCACCAGCATGATAAGGGTGCAATGGCGTTCCGGAGTGGACCCGCTGGAGCCTGACCAGAGCCACTTCACTCTGCGACACGCTGAAGGCGGAGCTAAATCAAAGAATTCTGTGCAAATCCGTCCAAGATGTTGCTGTTTCTCTGCTCTGA